TATATATATAATAAAAAGATTGATCGACGGCTAGAGGCCGCCGATCAACCCCTATAGGTTGGACTGACCGAGGGGCGGGCTCCTCTTCCAGTCCGTGTGCTATTCGAATTCTCCATAAAGGGCTTGAATTTGAACTCCCCGACCCGAGGGTCTTACGCCAAGACTGCTAACAATGAGCCAAAGCTCGCGCGTGCATAGACACACACATATATATATCGAGCATAACACGAATGAACAAATTTTCAATCATGTTCGTCTCGTTCATATATAGAGCACAAAAAAAAAAAAAATTGTATTCGACTCGTTAACTTAAAGAATGAACTTCTACAACGAGCCTTTTTGACAGCCTACTTAGAACAGATATTACAGTGGAACATAAATCATTTAACAAGCTTTAATTTCGTAATTAGTTTAATATTTTAATTCATATTATTAGTATTATAGTTAACATTAATTTTAATATAAAAATAAAAAAAAAGTTTCGGGGCATTGATGTCATAGAGAAGTCTCGAAGGGGGCGCATGTTGAGTTCTTCGCCGACCGTAATGGAGGTGCAGCATCCCCGTCTCCATATTCATGATTTTCTCCCTCAAGATCTCTGCAAGGTATAGACCCAACTCTCTCTCTCTCATTCTCCTCGACCTAAGATGATTTGCGCACAGGAGCTCGAGTTCATCCACCGCAGCTGCGGGGCGGTGGGTTACCGTCCTAACGTGTTCTCGACGACCCTCAGCCATCTGGTGGCCACCAACTGTGCTCACCTTATTCTTCCTTTCATCGTCATCAGGGAGAAGCTCAAGGAGAAGGTCGAGGATTTCTTCGGATGCGAGTTCGAGCTCTTCATCGAGTTCACTGGCCTCATAAGGTATTCCTAGCCCTTCTCGCTTTTTGTTGATTTCCCCCTTCAATTTGAAATATAGAATAAGAAGATAAACCTATGCGATCATTTCTAATATCTATGTTAATGGTAATGGAAAATAATGTTCTTTTAATGACATTTTACCTTTTTTTCTCTAAAAAATTTGATGTCATGAAAACAAACAGTTTTTTGTGGAAGTACCAATTAGAAGCGAATATGGTGAATACAGAAGCAAATACGATGAATGTCGAAGATAACATCTAAAGTGTTAACAGACATTGCATTTTTCAATGAGAGAACTGAGAAAATGGTCCTCTGATTCCTTACATGAGTTCATTTTAATCCGAGTCTATAAAGTTGTTAATTTATTCCTCAGATTCTCTTAATATAAGCTGAAATAGTCCTATAGAGGACTATTTTGATCCCTTTAAAAGAGTCTGGGGATTAATTTGACAATTTTATAGACTTTGTTACTAAAATAGGCCATGAAAATAGTCAGGGGACCATTTTGACACTTATTATTCAATTTAGTCCCATAATGGATGTTTGAAAAATATGTTGATGTAAAAATTCCTTAAAACACTAAGTTTTTCCCTGCTCTTACAAGCTTAAGCATTGAGTTGAGAAGGTTTCATCATCGTTGTATCCAACTTAATTTTTTGTCTCCATTTGGTTTTACACTTCTTAACAAGTTGTATTAAAGTCAATGGTTTGGCCAAGATTATGTAATTCATGATATTTGTTGCTTCCGTGGACTTGTTGTGCTTCTATCACACTGTCCATTGAGTATTGAAGAAGTTAGTAATAATTAGGTAGGATGGGATGAGTAGAAAAATTTAAAACAATTTCATTTAGTAAAATATCTATTTTAATAAATTTTGACCATTAGTAGGATCATTAGAGCTTCTAAATTCAATAACACCTAATTCATTCACCAAAGCATAAAAGAAATTTAATTACTACAATACCTTATTCAAGGAACAAGTCACTATTGAATAAATTAAATGATTTTAAACCTTAATTATTTTTCAATGATATACTTCAAACATGAGATTAGGAGTTTTCTTTTAGATACTACCCAAATAGTAGCTTGTAAATAATAAGATAATGAGCATTAGTTTGAAAGAAACAAACATAATGGTGAAACCTATCACTCGAAGTAACATTGACAATGCATAGGGCATTAATATGATTAAAAAAAATTATAGAAGTAATAATAGATGTTTCATAATAATATTTATAAACCTTGCACACAAAAAATTCAAATATGAAATTTATCTAATAATGCCTATTATATAGTATATATCATAAAAAATTTCTATAAAAATTGATGATCATTGCGTTCAATTTGCCAAAACATCTATTTCCATGCATTATGTATTCATCAATACATAAAGGACCCATCAATTTTATTTTAATATTTTAATATTTAAATTTATTCCTAGCGAGCCCACCAATTTACCTTATTCTTTTAAGGTTTTTATCAATCCATGGAAATCCTATAATTCTAACAAGAGTTTTCACTTTGAGGACTTGACCTAACAAGACTACCAAAAAGGTTTTTACTCACATGCTTACTCACATGCCTGTATCATGCATGCACGCATATATCATATAAATTTTATATTTTAATAAATATTTTTTGTTATAGGATTTAAAATTATTATGATCATAATTTGTTAACTATATTATCATATCAAAATGATTATGTGCAAATCTAAAAATAAATAAAGCATATTTTAGAATTTTATTATCACTGATTAGTGCATACAAACAAATTTTAAGGATTATGTTTCTGACAAGCAAGGGTGTGTTTCTCCCTTAATCAAAAATAAATCTACCAAATTAACTTTCTTTAATTAATACACACATATATTTATAATTTCTCCTCAATCTTTCTATGTTAAAATATGAAAAAAAAAATACTTAATTAACATTATTTTAACTTTAATATAATGTTAATCTCTATAATTAAATACATGCATCTAAGCGGTAGTAATAAATAATTAAATGCCTCAAACTCCTTATATTAAACTCTCATATTAAAATTAATTTATATTAGTTTCTTATAACGATCACTCAACTCTTAGTTGATCTAGCTTATTAATAAATCTTTATTCATAATGAAGAATATTGAAATAAGTAAGTTAACATCCTTGGGTTTATATTCATAAACACGTCAAGATGAGGATGATGTTTTGAGGTGGAAATGGCTAACATGTCTTCCCCTTTTTCCTTTTATTCACATTACATCCATCACTCTTGTCGAAGCCATCAAATATATAAATAGGTCTTTCTCATTTGCACATTGTGTGCCCTAAGAGAGGACATCAACCATGGCTTTGATTCATGTCTGATCATCCTCTTCCTAGCTTTTCATTTGTTCTATCATTCTTGTTCACTCTCGCTTTCTCTTTATTTTTTGGTTTTAAACCCTAAGGCCTATTCAAAGTTTTAAGAGGTTGCATGAAATTATGAACATCATATTCATCTTTCTTCTATATTTCAATGCTAGCATGCACTTTCCAATGCCACCTGACATTTGTTTGCATGTTGGCTTTAATTGAGTCAAGTCGACTTGTGAGCTGGTTGGGATTGGATTAATAAATGACTTCTATGTTAAGTTTGATGAGCTAATAAACCAAGCTCGATAAAGCACTGACTTGACTCATTTGCTCTTGTATTGACTCGTTCAAAAAACATTCTTATGTAATACAATTAAAAATAATTTTCTTATGCAAGAGCAAAAGTGCATTGTCTAGAATTTTTAAAAATTGTGTTTAATTATTTACATTATTTTATTTTTTAATTATTTTTCTTTTAATTTTTCACTCTTCTTTTATATTTTACTATAGTAAGAGTCTGTATTGAAATTATTTTCTTTGTTTTATAATAAATATGTTGGCTCATGATTCAACTCAAACTTGTTGGAGCTCAAGCTTGAACTTGATTGGTTAATTGAGCTCAAGTTAGGTGTGGCTTGAGCTCGACTTGACTTGCCACATAATTTTTGGTTGTATGTGTACTTGGCTTTTGCCCACTAGAAAATATGGTTAGTGGGAAATTATATTTACAAAAAAAATTAGAATTTTTTTTTCTAAAATTCTCTCATTTTTGACACCATTAATTTTAATTTTTATTATTTTAGATTGCAGGATCATTTTAGTGAATATTTTAAGAGTTTGGGAACTACATCGAGTTTTTTACACGTTCTGCAACTGAAATGATCGCTTACAAATACTCAAGGGACTATTTTGGTCATTTTCTCTTTGCTAAAATTCTCTTCTCAAGTTTTGTTCTAGTGGAAGTTCCCTTATGAACAAATTATATTTCTTGTTTTAGGTCACCTAGATCTAGAGATAAATTTTTATCTAAAAGTTGCTTCGTCGCCATCCCAACATCTTTGTCTTACAATTATGAATTATGAAGAGGATTCATTCTGAACTAGTTGACAACAAACTTAATATGCCTCTATATATATGCTGTAGATTTTTCATGTGATGTTGGCATGCACCTTCTGTTTTTTTTAAAATGCTTCTTAAGGTAATGTAATATGCTATTTATTTTACTGTAATTTGCTTAATTTTTCACTCTTTCAATTATGGCATATCTGAAAATTTCAGTTGGTGTAAAGGGGCCTCAATTGGATGGCATAGTGATGACAATAGGCATTACCTTAAGCAACGAGATTTTGCGGTATGCCCAAATCAAGATGTCAATGTTTGCACTAGTTTAATTTGCTCGTGTTGCTACTCAGATATGCTAAGTCATGGAATCTTTTGTCTTTTTTTTTTTTATGATATAAAAGGCTGGAGACGACTTTTCTACTTCATGCTACACTGCATTTTTAACTTTATGATAACAACTAATGTATTTAAACTTAAGTATTTTAAGATGCTTACTTTTGAAAATATAAATAGACAATGTTTTTTTGTTTAATAGTTTATTTTAGATTAGCAATGTAGGAATGAACTCAAAAATGTTTTATAGAATATTTGTATGCTTTCTGTAATATATTTAGTTTCCTTTTTAAGTTTCCAGGCTTAGTGCATTAAATTTGGTTGTTGAAGCAAGATATGTCAATATTGAGAAGGTTGTATGAATCATACAAGAGGGAGGGAGGGAGGGGATTTGGAGAGTGTAAATCAGTGTATTGGGTACGTCTCTTAATAATGTGTTAGTTATAATGAATTAATCACTTTAATGATCCTAAATTTTTATTAATTATGAGTTTTCTAAGCGGGCATTTTTTTATGTGTGTTAGTAATTATTTCACCAATAGAGTAGTCATTGTATAACTTTCATAGGCAAATTGAGCAGAATTGTAGACTTAGATCGGTTTGACTGACATAATGGTTCAATCCTATGTTAGTTGGTCTGAATGAACCCAAAGGTTTTTAGGCTTGCTGATCTCATAAGAAAATATAATTTGGCCTCTCATTTGTCCCGAGAGATGTGTAAAATATGAAAGCTTATTCTAATACATAGTTTAAGAGTTGTTTCATTGAAAATATTATGAGAGTATTGTTTTTCATTTTCTTATATTTATACTTTTATGTTTGATATAAGATAAAACTATATAAGTTATTATGACATTTCTCGTTATTATGGGCTAGACATTCAATACACATGACTTTTGGTTTTCTGTTGAAGGCAGTATGTTACTTGAACAGCCATGGAAAGGATTTTGAAGGTGGATTTTTTCGCTTCAAGGATGGAGATCCTTCATCTGTTGTTCCTTTTGCAGGTGTAAGTAAACCATTTGCAACCTTCTTTTAATTTTCTCTTATGAATTTTGTTAGATGAATTTATATATGCTGTATGGCGAAACATAAGAATGTTACTTAATTTACGAGATGGTTATCTTTGAATTTGTTTTCTATTTTGGGGAGTATGAACTACGAATATTCTGATTTCATTTCAGGATGTTCTAATCTATACAGCAGACGATCGCAATGTACATTCTGTTGATGAGGTATCTCTTGTTTATTATGTCATCTTTTCAAACTTTATAAAGATGAAATCCATTTCAAAAATATGTTTATTATGGTTTTTATAGTCATCTGAATTTTCAAATAACTTATGCTTTGAACATTCCATTTTAAATTTTGTGCTGGATGGAAAATTTTTATATATATGGCTTGTCAAGGAAACCACTTTTCTTCGGTTATTCTGTTGATGTTTTCACATAAAATCCCCCGAAACCCACTTAGTTTGACATTTTCTTAGCTTTTTAAGCTTCAAAATTACATATGAATGAATGACATACTTTTAGTACACCGTTGAATTTGACAGGCAATGTTTGTTTGTGCTGCTTTTTTTATTTATATTTTGATTTATGTATGTTTTTTTTTTCCATTTTATTAATATTGCTCTAAGAACTCTTTTTCCTTGTTTAGTGGGTGGTTTGAAATGAAGGGATATGGTAAAGAAATAATACTGAGTTTTTTATAGGTATCCAAATGATAAGATTCATATAGTTTGATTTTGCAAGCTATACAATACTTCAAGAAATGGGAACAGCTTTAATATATACTTTCAAAAGAGGAGTTATCAGATCAATTAAGCATCTTTTTTACTTGTAATGAAATAATTTATTTATTTATTTTTTGCATAAATTTAAAGATTTTGGGGTGAATATAAATAGGCATCTTTTGATTCTCTCCTATTTTTTGGGCAAATAACATCCAACTATTCTAGATTTAAGTAGTGATTAGTGACCGGAACAAGACATCCTTGAGTGTTACCTAGATTAATTTTAGCGACACGTTTGAGAAATTAAGATTTCAACTTAGGAGAGAAGAATTGAAATCTCTTTTGGTTTTTGAAGTTCAAGCTACTAGAAAGGCTTCTACCAGTTTTCTCCACATAAATGATTATGAATTTTCAAAGATGAGCATCTTTAGACTCACCAAAGACTTTAGATATATAATCATTCATTGTAGTTCTAATTTGAAAAGATCACTGAATGCATTTTCTCTTTCTTCCTTCTTTATTTTTAGTTTTGACTATGATGTGTTATTGTTCTTTGAGTCTTATTGAGCTCAAATAACTTTCATAAGTAAATTGAGTGAATTCTTTGGATTATTTGCAACTTGTGTTAGGATCTCGTCCACTCTACAACAAATTTCCATTATATATTGGTTAGCCCTTTTCTATTCTAAATATATATTACCAGAGCAAGTTAATTTATCGGGAAATTTTTGTTGTGTGCTTAATTGCATTTGTTTATTTGATTGTATGTGTAGGTTACTTTTCATTAACTTACCATTCCATTATCAAACCTAAGTGAAAAATTCTAGAGCACCACTTTATTATTTCGTTAGTCATATAGTTGTTCTTTTAAATTCATTAAATTTGTATATCATTCAAAAGAAAAATATTTACTTAACATTAAAAATTTTTATCTTATATACTTTGTGGCAACTTTATTTTATTGCCTTTATCTATCATTTATGTTATGATTTTAACTACAAATAATGAATTTTGATCATCTCAATGATTTCTACCACTTTCTAGTCAACCACGTAAATTTTGTGATTTAGCCTTAAAAAAAATTAAATGCCAAGAGCTCTCTCACAAATTTTGATTTTAATCTTGTTATCTTGATGTTTTCAAGATGAATTCTCATATTTGGCACCCTTATTAAACTTGTAATTGAAATTGTGAAGATTATATGATTTGTTTGTTAATGGAGGATCCTATCCTCATGCACAAACAAGCAATTCTAAAGTTTAGGCTCACATTTGAAATGTAGACAATCACCCATGAGGACACATTGAAGCTAACATCGCCTTTAAACATCCACTTAACCCAATGACTCTATTTTTAGTTCTCACCATCATCACCACGATCCTTGCTTCATTCACATCCAATGCTTCTAACAAATTGAATCATCCTAAAGGGTAGTGATTGGTTGAATCCTCTAGTTTTAATCCTATGCGTATCAGCATGTTTAACATATGGCAAGGTTGCATGGTATATAAGCACTTCCACTCATAGGAGTTCTTACATTGATGTGGAAAAATTAAACCAATCTGGTGAGTCTATGACCAATGATGTTGATGACACATTGAATGTATTTCACTTGGTTGTCGCCCTTTGTGTCTCAACCTATCATGCATATGCAAATTGAAAACATTCAACCATCTTCCACTCATACTCTAGGCATGGTGCAACTCATGCAAGCTAATCATCGACAATATAAACTCTCTGATTATCATTGCTACCTCTTACTCATCCATAAAAGCTTGGATTGAAAAACTTCATTGTCTGTCATCCAAGGTTATTGATTGTTATGGAAAAGCCAACCTCTTGCTCGAGTTTCTTGAAAGTATTTTTTTCTTGATTAGGCTTTCTAACCAAATTTTCTTTTGATATTGTGTTAGAATTTATTAGATATGAGGTTGATAATTTTTATGAATGTTGGTTCCCATAATTCATTCTCTCTCTCGATGTATGAGAGAACTCTTGATTAAGGAGGGTCAATTTGGTTGGTATATGTTAATTTAATTTATTGGGCAATATTTAGGTTGATAGAAATAAACCTAATCAATATTTTATGATGTTTTCTTCTCAGATATTCCAATGAATCTACTCTGTCAATATCATAAGACTATAAATTGAGGCGTCTAGAAGTCTTAGGGTCTGTTTGGGGCAGTTACAACTTATTGACAATCTGCTGATAAACAGACAACTGATTCAGATAAGCTGGTTGACTGTTTGGTTTGTGCTGTTGGAAAACAGCTGGTTTGCAGCTGATTGTGGATAAATGACCAGTCTGCCTATGTGCAGTAATGTTGTTTGCAACAAAACTCTTATTTTTATATATTTGATACTTGAGAAACAAAAAAAATCACTTCAGAACAGTAGAAAAAATAACATACATACCTTACATTATAATTTTTTTAATGTTTTATTAAAATCATTGCAACATGTTACTGTTGTTGCGGTATTGTTGCAAATTACTGTAATGATACTGTAGCTCCAAGAATATATTTCAGAAAATGCGGTATATAGTGGCTAGATTTAGTTTAAGGGGCTGAGATTTAATTATAATGAAGTTATTTATATTATTTGTATATCATGTTTTGTATATCTATATAATAGATATAGGTTTAAGCAACCCATTCCTCTCATTCCCGTTGATTGTTCCTAGCCGAACAGAGTGTCACTGCTCTTGAAATCCAACGATGCTATCGGAGAGAGGCGAGAGTGAGGGAGGAGAAATCGAATGACGCTATTGGAGAGAGGCGAGAGCGAGGGAGGCGAGATCGACTTTAGGGCTCAGGTCGAGGGCAGCTGAGACACAGGGGCAGTGGGGTAAAATGCGAGCAAACGAATGCGGGCCGTGGGGTCGATCCTGCGGCCGCGTTTATTAAACAATCGAAACCGCTATTTCTCAAAACGCACCCCAAACACTTTTATCACACGGGTTGGAGTGTTTTGGAAATGCTGCCTGCAATTTTAATCCGCTTCAAATGGGTCCTTAATTAGCAATTATGAGTTGTTTACTTTAAGTTGTTCTAAACAACTCAGTGTGAAAATGCACATTGAAGATATGCTTTTGACGTTAATTCCAACCCGTTCATTGGAAAAGATCTGGTATTACCAATTTCTATGAATATTTTGAAAGCACAAAACATGATCTTTTGTGGTTTAGAAGTACTAAACACGATGAAAAGTGGCCAGGTATATGACATAATTATTAATTGTCCGTGAGTTTCGGTTTAAAAGTAATCTTAAAGCACCGTAGATTTTGATTGGTGAGTTTGGTTATGATTGCTTTTGTTAGTATGAGGTTGACTAGTGTTTAATTTTGCTTTAGGCTTAACATCTATTGAAAATCTAAAAATTTAAGCATGATTTGTTGTGATTGTTGGCTTCGTATTGGCTTGAATTAATTGAGTTGGGGCTTACATCAATTCAGGGTTACAACTTTTGAATGAGAAAGATAACCGGTTGTTCTTACAACATTACCAGGCAAATAAGGTGGTCCGATATCATTTTGATTCTTGGTTTGTAAATGATTTTAGAATTAGTTTGATTTGAAGTTTGGAGCTTGTATATTGTTTGTGAAGTTCAAAAAGGATGATTGAGCTTGAGGGAGAGGCATTGAGGAGAACTTCTGAGTGAGAACATTTAGAGAGCGAGCAAATATTGGGGGATTGGAGGATGCATGTACAAAATGGATAAAACAAGCATACGATATGACAAAGAGAGTTAGGAGAGAGAGATATGTGAGTATAAGAGACGAGTTTCATTGGGTTGGATAAGGGTTTTATTTTATGGGAGATAGATAAATCATATATTTTGGTAATGAGACTTGAGACTATGCTTGTGACCTACTATTAGGGCGATGTGGCATGAGGGATGTGGATGGGAGGCTCAAAGGAATTATTATTTATATTTTATATAGTATAATTTTTTTCAATGGCAAACAAATTCTTTTTCCCCTACTGAGTCAATTTTAATGATAGCATTTAGTGGGATGACGCCCTTACGGGCATTTGCTCTCATTCTACTCGGATTTCATTTTGATTTGATGTCACTCATTATTGATACTCCAATAATTAAGCTAATTCAAAGTCAAGTAGATTGTTCAAAGACTTGTTAGACTTCAGGAACTTTTCCCACGAACTAGGGACTACACTTTTTTAAACCGGCAAAAATGAAAATATGTAATGTCACCATGCAATTGTAATTCAATTAACAACTTTATAAAAGCTCTATTTTTTGGCTGTTGTTTTAGATATATCTAGTCAACCCCTCTCGGAGACCACTTCCTGTGATGTAACGTAGCTTTTGATGGAGTTTAAGTATCCCTAGAAAATTCTTTGTGAATTGTCCTCTCGAAGGATACTTATTGGGTGAAGGCAACATTTGAAGGCTTCTTCAAAAATAAAAAGCTAATGACAATTTTATCACTATTGACGTATCTTATGATGCATCAACAATGTGAAGGCTTTCAAAGAGATTACTCATTTTAACATGGTTTTTGAGGTTTCTTATGATAGCTTCTAAAATTGGCGTTTAAAGGGGTCTGATCATCACATTCTTTTGCACAAAACTAAATAAGTTATGATAACATAATTCTAGACCTTAACCCTTCAATACTGATGCTACTATCCTTTTTTTCAAGAGTTCGTGCTTCAAGAGTTCGTTTTTTTTCCCTTAATCATATGATGTAAAGCAATTTGGGAAGATTTCTTGGTTTCTTCTTTGTGAGAATTGAATTTACTTGAGTTTTGAGAGCGTTGGTGAGTATCATTGTATTTGTTCATTTTTTATGTCTTATTGTATATTAGATTAGATCCTTTGTCGAATCATAAACAAATCATGCATGATTCTTAACCAAATCATAAAGTTTTGGTGGTCTCTTTTGTTGCTTGATTTCTTGTGTTTTGCATACGGCTATTCATATTGGCTTTTGTTTAATGCTTCTTTATAATAGTCAGGTCTTTTTTCTTTCTAGTTTCTAAGCAAGGTAAATGAGGTTATATTAGCTTGTAATCGAGAAGTTTAAGGTTTTGGAGAACCAAGATGCATGATTTTCAAGCCCAAAAACAACTCGTGAAGTTACTCATGGGATATGTAAATATGTTCGAGATTACAAGTGAAGATGGGATAGAGATATATAAATAAACTCTCCCGGAGATTCAGTTGATTTTGGCAGATGATGTTTTGAAAGACTTCTTAGGGAAATAATTACTTTGGATTTGTGATTTGATTTTTTTTTTTTTCTTCATAAAATCTTCATAAAAGTTTATTATAACTAGAGATTATATTTATTTCACATGCATGAAGTTATGGTGATTAAAAAACATATAAATGAGTTATGTTTTGTTATTTGATATTTGTGAAATATTGATATGATTGTGGATCTTATGCACCAAGCTATGGTGTTAATGTGCTTTTAATGACACTCTTTGACACTGTCGTAAAGGGGCTTTGGGAAAGGCTTCCACGATTCCTTTGTCTGGACTGAATTGGCTTAAACCCAAGAGAGCCGATCGACTCTTCCACTAGGAATTGGGACCTCCTTTCTATAGGGGAATTCAATCCTAGTTATCTAGTGCTTATATATATAATTCCCGTGATTTAGGTTTTCAGATTTTGAATTGCATTCTGTTAGGACAGCCGTCGGCTTCCTGGTTTTTCCTCTTCTAGGGTTGTATCCAAATGTCGGTGGTGCTCCGAATATAGCTCGTACGTGGTGGTAATCTCTTTCCAAGGGATTGTGTGATGCTTCGGCTGCAACTCGTTCTCGCAGGGATATTTATCTCCAACTTATCCATCATCCGCATTCCTCCCCTCGTTGTTGGAACCACATAAACCTTGTTGTCGTCTTGCAACTCCAACTACCACCGACCACCTCTACCCGCTGTCATCCCTTCCAACTGCTTCCCACCTTGCTGCCATTTATTTCAACGCCCGTCTTCGTTGTCCAGCCACTGCCCTCGCTGCTGCAGCCTTAGGATAGCCCTCCCTTTGTTGTCTTGTAGTTCCACACAATCCCCATCGCTGCCACCGTTATTCTCGCTCGCTACCTCCGTTATTCCCGCTCGTTGCCGCCTTATCGAACAGTCGCTTCTAGTTGTTTGTTGTTTTTCCAGTTCTCTCAACTAGCCCCTGTTTGCTGTCTTTCAACCGGCCAAACTCTACATTACCCCATCGCAATACGCCGCAACTTCCCCTTCCTTCTCCTACAACCATCCACCGCCTCGTCACCTTCCTCCTGCCATCCACTCGCCAAACCAGCCACCACCTTTGGATACATTTAGTTGCATTTGCTTGGTTGTTGCTATATTTCCTTGTCAAGTGTGTGTTGTTGTAATCTTCTATTTCCCTTTTCAGTATAATATTTGTGTTCCTATTGTTGTTTGGGTTATAACTCCGGGATCACTCTTATAAACATTTTAATGGCACCAAGTTGTATGGGCAGATATACTATCAATTTAAAGATTTTAAAAAAAAATTTCTTCTTTCTAAAGATGTAATTGCTAAGCTCAAGGATTATTGGTTAAAGGTAGATTATATGAAAAATTGTAATACTTTTATTAATGGTAAAAGTAAGTCATATAGACTTTTATTAATGGTAAAAGTAAGTCATATAGCAAGTTCAACGATCTTGCTTTTATATAGCATACGGCAAAAAAAAAATATGAAAAAAGGAAGACTTATGCTTTGAAATGAAAGTAATAATTTATTAGTGTTATCCTTGAAGAAGTTTTGTTCTTAGATGCTAATTTTATCATAGCTTACGTTGGTTTAGATATAGATGATGCTTTTTAGTGATTGATGGAGGTAACATCAATATTTAATGGATATTGGATCGAGCTTGCTTATATTATGTCAAGTGTGCACCATATCTTATAAAATTTTGATATTTCTGAGTGTTTTTGGCGACACATGATATAGAAGCAATTTTGAAGTTCTAAAGGTTTGTAGACTCTTATTGGTTGAAAAGACTTGGTGTACTCTATCTTGCAAGGAGCAATTTCAAGTGGATTTGCTTTAGTTTTGTCATCCATGAAGGAGCATTATGATATGTGGAAGTAAAAAGTATTTACTTCTTGGTTGAAGGGAAGACATTTTGAGATATTGTGGTGTATTGATTTTTATGTTGCAGAATCCATCTCAGTGCCATGTCATTTTATTGAGTGAAAAAGCAACCATTTCACGAGCATGAAAGTTTAGTGGTAGGCGCACTTTTGTTCTCAGTGGTTCCACTTTGTTGTGCACCTAACAACCTTCTTGATTTAAGTAGGGGGCATTTACATGCATAGCATACAAGTGTTATGTATTTACATACCTCACGTCTAACTTTCATATTTACACAAATAGCACTCAAATCTTTAATTTCACATAAAAAATAGTGCCATTACCATTATTTAAAAGTAAATACACCTTTTTTCATGCACGGGTTTAAAACATCAAAGTGCGATATATAGAAATATCAAAATTTAGCTATGAGATATGTAAATGCATAAGAATTGTGTAAATTTCTCCAAAAGAAAATGTTTTAGTTCTTTTTTTGGTTTCTCAGGTGCTGGATGGTGAAAGGCTTACATTAACACTTTGGTTTACCCGTAACCGAGTCCATGACGAGGATGCAAAGCTAATTTCTCTCCTCTCCCAAAACTTATCAAACCATGTAAAAGAAAAACCTTATTCTTTCTTACCCTCGCCGGCATCAGATAATATGTATTGGTTTTCTGATGGCACATCGGGCTTTGATATACGCTGTGCCAGGATTCAAAACCTTGGGTTCAAGTTCTGTTCATTGAAACATCAAGAGTTCTCCACATCTGATATGGCAGGTAATCCTTCGGAGCTGCTTAACACGCCTGTACGGCTTGCCAGAGGTGATGAGATATTTGGCGAGGAATTTGTCAACAGCCTGCATGCGTTGCAGGTAATCGGTCCTCAACACTAAATGTTTCTCATTTTCGAATTTAATAGAATATTGTAATGATATAGGATTTGTTTTGAGTAACTATTGTTTTTTTGTAAAGATGTTGCAAATGTGTTGAGCATAAAATATTTTTTTTGAAAATTACCATGTATTATAGTTATCACACTATAGTATGTTGAGTACAGTGTCAAAACAGTCCCCTAATTGTTTACATTTTAGTCCGAAGGTCTATAGAAGTGCCAAACTAATTCCGAGGCTCTCTAAATGGGGTTGAATAATTCCATAAAGAATTTTTTTAGCTCATATTAAAAGAATTTGGTGACTAAATAAATACTTCTATAGATTCTGGGAATAAAATGACTCGCAACTAAGAATCAGGGGACTATTTTGACACATTTCTTATGGCATATTTGGTTTTCAAAATCCGCTTCACATCACAAAAAATTCTAAAAATTAACAAGGAAGCAGTAGCCAAATAAATGTGTGATATCACTGTGAAAAGTAGAACATATAGAATGCTGCCCCAACATACCGATAATATTACTGAAAATATTCTCCAAGCTAATTTTATTTTTCACATCACGATCAATCATGGTGCCTTATTACAGGTGGTGCAATTTTACCATTTGAAAGCTTCAGAACTGATTTCATCAAGAAGAAAACAAGTTGATGGCACAGAATCAACTGAATCTCATCTCGCGAATAAAATGAATGACACGGAAGTATTGGTTTTGCTTTTTGACCATCAACTTGCAGAGAAAATTCTTGGCTACATGTCCTCTGATGAAATTTTGTCTTTTAGTTGGGTTTCTTTGAAACTTGCCCTCACCAGATGGGAGGAATATATGTTCTCACTGTATGAAGAGCTGTTGATGCTTATTCCACATTGGGTGTTCCATCAGACTCTCTTTCTGGCTCCCACTGCTGAGCAATCCAGCTGTAGTCAAAATTCAGGTTAGTCCTCTGATTATTTACATTTGGTCATGTAGTCCCAGAGTTTATAAAAATGCTAAATTAGTTCCCAAAATCTTTCAATTGGGAGGTAAAATAGTTTTCATTGGAGATTATTTCAACCATATAAAACAGCTCTAGGAATAAATAGCCACTTTTATAAACTTTCTGGTAAAGAGTGAGGAGACTATTTTAAACCACCTCTTATTTTAAATTTATACAAGTAAATATGTTTGTTTTCAGCATTTGAGGTGACTTTATGCAATATTTGTCTTTTTAAAACTTTTTTACAATTTTTGAGGAGGCTTGTCTATATAAATGATAAACCATGAGAATTTTACAGGTTTGGATATATGATTATTCTAATGTTCTTACCTTTTTTTATGAGGTAAGTATACAATATAGTCAACTTTGTGTTGAGTGTCTGATTGTTCTACTAGAAAGATAACATTATATATTCTATTTAGTTTAACCTTTTTTAGCATTTTTTGTAGTTCTTTTACTAGATGTAAAGGCCCTTTTTAACTGGCTTCTGCATATTTAAAAATCAGTAATCAATAAGCATGGATTGTATTTAATCTTTGGAATATTTAAATACAACTCAATTCCAATGAATAAACATTTAATTTTTTGTGTATTTGCCACCTTACCTGTGCATGAAATGGTGTATTTCTCTATTATTAAAATCGAAGTAGTGGTATTCTTTTGTGAAATGAAACATTTGGATGGTATAAATGTAAAAATCTTGTGAGTAATTCTGTAAGCAAATTTGAAAGATTTTAGGAGTTTTAACTTTCCTTTTCACAGAAAAGACAGCTTGCCGACAGTATTGAACAGTAGCCAAATCTTATCCATTAATCAACCAGCGTTGAGTTTGTGGACTGTACAAATATGAAGACAGGTGATTTAATTACAGGGGCATTTACACACTTACCAACCAGTTCTTATGTTCTTACAATATCCAACGTCTAAACTTTTAAAAAGCTGTAGAAGAATATAAAATCCCTCCCCAAAAAAAAAAAAAAAAAAAAAAAACTAAGAGCCCTTATCCTTTTCAGAATGGGAGTCAATATTCAAAAGAGTTCTTTAAACCAAGAAGAAACATCAATCAAAGATCAATTTTGAATGACAAACATGCATTCCAAAACTCAAATTTATATTTTGCATCCACATTTGGTTACAAGAATCTATCTATCTGTAAAGTTGAACTCTCAGTGTGACGTAGCCAACTCTTATCCATCGTTAAGTCTAACGATACTGATCAGTGTGTTTTTTATGACAGTTGGGTGGGTTGATACTCTCTCTAATGCTCCCTAACGGGGTAGATGTCGGGAGGTTGTCAAAATTTTGGGTTACCTTAACTTACAATTGACTTAAGATTTTGGACTATTTGAGCTTATAAAATGATTTAAAATTTAGACTATTTGGAGTTATTAAAAGAATTTGAAATATGAACATTTTGGATTTGCAGAAATGACTTGAAATTTAGAATATTTGAATTTGCAAGTTACTTTAAAAAAATGAATTGAACTAATAGGGTATCAATTTGACATAACACATAGAAAGAATACATATTTTAAATTTAATGTAAAATGACGACTCAAATTAGTATTGAAGTCAAAAGAAAATAATTAAATACAAGAAAGATCCACATAAGATTTTAGGGATACATAATGATTTGCAAATGATTTTAAGGAAGATCATGTAGTGAATATTTATATTGTCACATTTGGCAGCATCTAAATTGAAAAAAAAAAAAAAATCCTTTAATTAGTTCTTAAGTAGTTTGCATTTTGCCCTTAAAAATCTTAGATAATTCTAACTTTTTCTGGTGTATCTTAAGAATGTTGTGCGGATTAAGGTTAATCGTTCACTCACGTGCTCTAATAAGCATACAAAGTTCTTTTAAAAAATATATGAT